GTCAGGCTGGGGGGGGGTCCCGGGGGAGGAGCTCGGCCCCTCTTGCTGGTGTAGGTCCCAACCAGCTCAGAAGGCCCTCAGGTTGTCTGGGCAACGAGAGGGCAGGAAGCGGCTGGAGCAGCTGGAACTTGTCCCTGGGCCCGCAGGTGCCCAGGGACACAGCCGCCTGCCCTGGGATTGCTTCTCCCTCCTCCCATGAGCCCTCTGTCCCCCAGGTCTACATCCGCTATGCCCCCCACCCACATGCCCCTGGCCCTGGGCTCCGTGCTGCTGCTGCTGCTACAGCTGCTGTCCCCCACATCTGCCTTCTTCCCCAACATCTGGAGCCTCCTGGCCGCCCCTGGCTCTGTCACCCACCAGGACCTGACGGAGACGGCGGCTCTCAATGTCACTCTGCAGCTCTTCCTGGAGCGGCCACCCCCGGGCCGGCCCCCCCTGCGTCTTGAGGACTTCCTGGTGAGTGTCCCTGGGTCCTGTCACATGCCAGCCCAACCCGGGCGGCCCTGAGGCCTCTACTCCCTGAGGTCCTGCTTGCCTGTACCCTCCTCTCTGCCCCCTGCAGCCACAGCACCCAGGATCCCTGGTCCTGAAATCGAGTCCCTCCTGCTGGTGAAGGTCCTGGGCGACCCAGAGGGGTGCCCGCCGTGCCCTTCCACACAGCCTTGCGTGCCAGGTCCCGAGGAGGCGTGGGCAATGGCCCAATCCCAGGGGCTTCCCTGAGCCCATCCCCTGCCCTCTCCCAGGGCCGCACCCTCCTGGCCGATGACCTCTTTGCCTCCTACTTCGGACCTGGGTCCCCTTCCCGGCGGTTCCGAGCAGCCTTAGGCGAGGTGTCTCGTGCCAATGCAGCCCAGGACTTCCTGCCAACTTCCAGGAACGACCCTGACTGGCACTTCGATGCCGAGCGGCTGGGCCAGGGGCGCACACGCCTGGTGGGGGCTCTGCGGGAGGCCCTGGGGGCGGCCCAAGCCGGCGACCACGCCCTGGCCCGGCAGCGCCTCGGGGCAGCCCTCCATGCCTTGCAGGTGAGCGGGACTGGGGGTCATGGGCACAGGGCCCTTCACTGCCAGTCTTCCCGTCTCCCGGGCGGTGCCTGCTGACCAGGCCTCTGGAAGGGGCCGGGGCCCTGTCTGCCAAGGCCCTGAGGCCACCCCTGCTCCCCGCGCCCACAGGGCAGGTGAGGGCTGGCCGCGAGACAGCCTGTGCCCGCCCCTCTCCTTCCCCGGGCAGGACTTCTACAGTCACAGCAACTGGGTGGAGCTGGGGCAGCAGCGGCCACACCCGCACCTCCTCTGGCCACGGCAGGAGCTGGGGAGCCTGGCACAAGGTACGGCCACCTCGCCTCCTCTCTGGAATGCCCTCCGAGGCCTCGCAGCTCGACCCGAGGCCAGGCCGTCGGGTGGCTTCCCTGCGGTCGCCAGGGAAGGACGGCCAGGCCCAGGCTGCAGGCCCCGCGGGGTCCCTCCCACACGCTTCCCCGCCCACCGGGTCCGCGGGGCTTTCTCTCTCGGTCCCTCAACCTCCCAGCTGAGCAAGGAACGCAGCCGCCTCCTGTCCGACCGCTCACTTCCTGTGCACGGTGCGCAGGGGTTGGCCCCACTCTGCGGGCGCCCCTGGCACGTCCCAGCCGCAGATCCTGTCTCACCATCAGCCCCTGGGCTCCAGGGTCAGTTCAGGGAGCCTAGGGGGCGCCTGGGATGGCTCCCTGAGGGCTGGCGCCTCCGCAGCGGAAGAAAAGCTGAAGTTTGGGTGGACAGGGTTAGGGTCGGGGCGGCAGGGTCTTGGGCTCTAGACCTTGCCCCTCCCTTTGCAGTGGGAGATCCTACCTGCGCCGGCTGTGAGGAGCTGAGCTGCCCTGGGAACCTGCTGGGTTTCCCACGCCTCACCTCTGGCTACTTCGGAACTTATCCCTCCAAGCCTCCAGGTACCAGACAGAAAAGCCCTTAGAAGTAAGGGAGAGTCACCCCCTTTCCCGGACCCTGTCCCCAGGGCCCTCGGGGTCCTCGCCCCACTTCCTGGAAGGGAAGGGCTGGGTGGATGAGGGCCTGCCGAGTGCCAGGACTTGTTGGGGAGGGGCGGGAGCAGCTAATGAGACCTCCATTGCCTGAGGGCAGCTTCTGGGGATGGACTGGGGGCCGGGGATCCCTCATGTGCTGTGGGATGACCCTCCAGAATGTCATCACTTCCTGCCGGTCCTTCGCTGAGCAGTGAGAGGGCCAGGCCCGCTCAGAAAGGCCCCATCTCTTGGGGGGCAGTGGGTTTTCTACTCCCACCTCCGGATCCCTTTCCCCACCCAGGAAAGTGCAGCCACGGGGGCCGTTTCGACCAGAGCAGCTCTCAGCCACCCCGGGGAGGCATCAACAAGGACAGCACAGCCCCGGGCTTCTCCCCACACCACACGCTCCACCTCCAGGCTGCGGAGCTGGCCCTTCTGGCTTCCACCCAGGCCTTAGGGCTCCTGCGGAGCCGCCTGGGGGACCGCGGCTTCTCCAGGTGAGTGGCCCTGGGGCGGCTCCCTAGGAGCTCCCTGGGGAGCTGAGAAGCCGGGGCTGGGAACAGTGGGCAGACCCGCCATGTGGCTCTCCGCAGGCTGCTGGACATCACCCCTGCCTCCAGCCTGAGCTTTGTGCTGGACACCACGGGCAGCATGGGCGAGGAGATCACCGCCGCCAAGATCCAGGCTCGCCACATTGCGGAGCAGCGGCGGGGCGGCCCCATGGAGCCTGCCCACTACGTGCTGGTGCCTTTCCATGACCCAGGTGGCCGGTCTGGCGGGAGAGTGGAGGGAAGGAAAGCGGCAAAGGTGTGCCGCGGGCGGTGGGCCTGTGCTTACCGCGAACAATCGCCGCTGCGTCCACTGCTCCCAAAGGGCAGCAGGTCACAGTGCTTCCCCAGCACCCACGCTTAGGCAGTGGCCCTGCTTTCTTGGGCTCCATTTTCAGGTCTACTTTCC